CCTTAGCCGGTTGAGCTATAGGCGCCGAGCCTGTTTTTTTTTTGAGACAGAGTCTCACTCCATCACCCTGGGTAGAGTGCCATAGTGTCACTGTAGCTCACAGCAATCTCAAACTCCTGGGCTTAAGTGATCCTCTGGCCTCAGCCTCCCAAAGAGTAGCTGGGAGTATAGGCATGCGCCACCCTGCCTGGCTAGTGGAGGGTGGGTAAAGATGGGGTCTCACTCTTCTTCAGGCTGATCTCAAACTCCTGAGCTCAAGCGTCCTCCAGCCTTGGCTTCCCAGATTACAGGTGTGCTAGGATTATAGGCGTGAGCCACCATGCCAGGCCTTACATAGTCTTTGAAAACATTTTTGTTTAGAATAAAAATAATGTTATACAACATATTACACAGAGGGTGCCAAAAATGTATATACATTTTAAGAAAAGAAAAAATTGTATTAAAATTGTAATACTCAAGTCACATTTGACTTTTGCAATTACAAGAGGAGCTCAAACATGACTTGCATTCATCCTTTGTTATTGGTATATACTAAATATTACAATTTTAATATAGTTTTTTCCTTTCTTAAAATGTATGTATATATTTTTAGGCACCTTCTCCATATCCATGTAACCTATATTTTCATCAATTCTTACATTTTCCATGAAGCATTTGATTATTCAACTCCAAAAAGGTCTTTCTTTTCTCTAGATTCCTTTTAATATATGGCAGCCATCATTTTTTAATTTTTAGAGATAGGATCTCTTTGTCTTCCACACTGGAATGCAGTGGCATGATCACAGCTTACTGCAACCTCGAACTCTTAGGCTCAAGTGATTCTCCCACCTCAGTCTTGGGAGTAGATAGGACTATGGGCAGGTGCCACCATGCTTGGTTAGTTTTTTTTGTTTGTTTGTTTGTTTCTTGGTTTGTTTTTGTTTTTTTCAATAGAGAAGGGATCTATCTTGTTATGTTGCCCAGGCTGATCTAATTTTTATATACAATTTTTCTCTCTATATATAGTTACAGGTTCTTTGAAGAGAAAGGTCTTCAAGTTCTTTTTTCTCTGTCACAAAGTCTAGAGCAAGTCCTTGACAAATGCTTCTTAACTTCACCTCAATGTTCTTGGTTGAAAAAAGACTTCCCAATAACACGTGCAGAGGCATGGTGTAGGAGGAAGGGTATCAACATGAGAGAACATCTCCTAGTTTTCGGACATATTTTCATGTTATTTGTTTTGTTTAATCTGCCCCAAACCATTGTATGATAGATATTACCTTTTCCATTTTTGCAGGTAAGGCTCAGAGTGAGAAAGTCACTTGTCTTCATTACAACTAGATCATACAGCTAAGAAGTGACAGAGCTGGGATTCAAGGTCAGCCTGTCTAACTTCAGTGCCCTTTCCACTCACTACTCTATACTGCTCTCTTTTATCTACCCTCCTCCATTGCCCCAAGCCTCAAGAGTCAGAACCTTTTACCTTTTTTTTTTTTGAGACAGAGCCTCAAGCTGTCCCCCTGGGTAGAGTGCCGTGGCATTACAGCTCACAGCAACCTCCAATTCCTGGGCTCAAGCGAGTCTCCTGCCTCCGCCTCCCAAGTAGCTGGGACCACAGGCGCCCGCCACAACGCCTGGCTATTTTTTGGTTGCAGCCATTATTGTTGTTTGGTGGGTCCGGGCTGGATTCGAACCCGCCACCTTAGGTGTACGTGGCTGGCGCCTTAGCCGGTTGAGCTACAGGCGCCGAGCCTAGCTTTTTAAGTTAATAAGCATATTGGGGATTCCTATGTCAACAGCATTATTTCATGAAAGAGGGAATGACCACAATAACTCTTTTGCCCAGTTCTGTTCTGAGGATGAGAGAAGAAAAATCACCATACACAATTCTCTGTGTTACATTTCATATGAGTATGTATGTCTTCCTTTGAAATTTTTTTTGAAATGTTAACTGAGTACTCAGTTAAAGGCTTTAGCCAGCTACCAGCTCATGCCCTTCTCTTAAGCTTCTGTAAATGACGGAGAAATACAGAGGCCATGGCTTGAGGTGCTGAGCACGTGAAGAACTTACAACAATAGCAGGTTATAAAGTATAATTAGTCTTCATTTTTCCCTGCCTTGGAGTGCCTGTTAAATGCTACAAAGCTATTTCTATTACTCTCCTACCATCTTAATTTTTAATGAAATTTTTTTTCAAGTGTCTGTGATTTGACTTTAGGAAAGTTTGATGAAGCACAAGTGTACAGTAACTACAAACAAATGATTTAATTGTCATTACAAAGAAATAATAAATAGTGCTGGAATAATGTAATATGCATAAGAATGTCAAGATAAATATTTGTTTGAAGGCACTCAGTATCCTAGTCAACTTCGTTTTTAACTTGCTACACACACAGAATGGGCTTAACAGGGATGTGTTATGCACTTTGCAGTTTTTGACTTACTAATAAGAAGCAATCATTCCATCAGCCCTGTTCTATGACAAGGCTTCTTACTAGCTATAAATAACAGCCTTATAATCACTTCTAATTGCTATCTTTTCCTCCTTTGGCACTGAATTCCATTAGGAACAAGTCAGGGTAGGTTTTCTTAAGAAGTTAATAAAAATAAAAAAAAACTGGATGAAAAAAAAGAACATAGTATACTTCCCCTTCTGTACATGGTTTTCCTAACCTCCAAAGAAGCTGTAAGCACAGAATCAGGATCCAGAGAGACATGCTAAAATCTCATCATGCCCGCATATCTTCCAGACGGTCCTGAACGTGATTCATTGGCCAAGCAACACATGGCACAGATGGCTGCAAAATAACACTGCACAATGCCCCGGAACATGTTGTAAAGAGCCAGGGACACAGTCTCACTATTGTTTTCCATGTAGAGGTAAAGACTATTCAAATATCTTTAGCCACAAGAGTTGGGCATTAACACGGCAATACATGCCCAACAATGCTAAAAACCGCATGCACAGTTAGGAAGGGCAGAAGGGTGAGATGGGAAAGACTGAGAAGTAAAAGGAAGATGCCAAAGAAAGGAAGTAAAACTAAAGCTTCTCATACCTCCATTCTCTCAGGACACATTTCTACTTTTAGGTACCCAGGGTATCCTGGAAAGCCCTGGTACCTGGGACACATAGTCTAGTTCACCTCAGGAGGCCAAAAAGCCATACTGATCTACAGAACATTCTGTGTCTCAAACACAATGGTCTAGTGATCTAAGTTTAATAGTTTCTGACCCTTCCTTCCATTTAGGTGGATGGAACATACTGGAAGTGAGGATTGTTTCAGTGAAGTAAAATGAGGGGAAGAAGGGGGTCTCTGCTTAAAATAATTGCCCTATTGTCTTCTGAAATTTGTTATCTTTGGAAAGATTACGGGTCTCTGTAGTGTCTCATTTTTGGCACACATCTTCCTGGCCCTGTTGGATAGAAAGATGGAGTAATGGCAGTGACTGAAGCTCTCTCTCTCCCACGTCCTCCGCATGAATGCCCCCCTTCCAAGAGGAAATGAATCCAAATGCTTCTTAGTGTCTTAGTATCCCAGTCGAATGCGTCTCTTCTTTTCATACACCTTTCCCTTTCCATAAGGATCTTATTTAGGAATCAAAATGTAACTTCAGTACTCATTTAAATCCATTCTATAAAACCTGTACCCAAGCTTTCTCTCCCTTACTTTGGGGATGTGATTCTATTTAAGAGTTATCACATATAAATTATGGTATATGTATACCATAGAATACTATGCAGCATTAAAGAATGGAGACTTTACTTCTATTATGTTTACATGGATGGAGCTGAAAAATATTCTTCTTAGTAAAGTATCTCAGGAATGGAAAAAAAAATCCAATGTACTCAGTACTTCCATGAAACCAATTTATAATCACTAACACTTTCATATGAAAGATGAATCACAACTATAGCCCAGAATGAAGGCGGGAAGGAGAGGGGGATGGTTTGATGGAGGGGACCACACCTATGGAGCATATTGCAAGGGTACAAGTCAAATCTATCAAGTATAGAACACAAATGTCTTAACACTGTGATTAAGTAAATGAGGTGAAAGCTATGTTAATTAGTAAGATGTAAGCACTCCAATTTGTACAAATAATTAATACACTGAATCCCACAAAGGCATAAATGTATTCATGATCTATATATATATGACTTAATAAAGAAAAAGAGTTATCACATGACATTTCTAGCTTTATAATGAGAGTTTTACCAAGGAAGACCCTTCTTTTTTTTTTTTT